GATGACCTCAAGGACTCCAGGGAAAAGCTGAACAACTTTTGGGCATGCATGGAAAAATGAAGGCAGTCAGGAATCTTCCATCCTTGTGCTTTGGGACCAGTGAATGAGAGGTTAAAATCCTACAGCTGGATTAGAGAGTTCGTTTTTGTTTTTTTTTTTTATCCTGATGATATAAGTAGTACACGTTTACTGTAGAAATTTTGCAAAAGCACAGAGAAAATACATCGCCTGTAATTATTTCACCCAGAGACAGCCACTGTTAACATTTCATCTCGTTTCTTTTAGATTTAGTTATCATCTTTTACTTAACTTATAAAGCCCTTTTTCTTTGTTTAGATTGAAAAGTTTAAAAGAGATTATTTCAGGTCTGCTTGTGAGTACAAAGAAGGTAAATTGCAATTGGAAAAGTACTTGTCAACTGCAGTAAAATTCGAGATGCTGTTTTTATTGTTGTTCATGTGGGCAGTCATCTCCTCAGGAAGCTGGGCCCAATCTTCTCCAGGTGACTGCAGCCTCTAACCTAGAAAGCTCCCTGCCACTTTTCTTATTCTGATTTGTCTGCATGCTTTTATCTTCCTAGGAGGAGGCCACACTTGAACCCCTGATGATTCACTGTCCAGGGACAGTTAGGTCGACTTGAATTGAGTGAGAATCTATATGCAGAATGGATTCCTCCCACCCCACCCCGTCACCCCAGCTTGTGAAATACCACTTAGATAACATCATCTTTGAAAGCAAGCAAGGACATATATTGGTTTATTCCTTGTTTAAGAAGCTTATGGACCACTTTCTCTGTGTCTGTCACTGAGCTAGGCATCATAGCCTCAAAATGAATAAACATTCCGTTGTCCTCAGGGAACTTGAAATGTTTAATAAGGGAAAAAGAGAAATAACCAGGGATTGGAATCAATGACAGTAACAGTACAGTCTTGACCTAAAGGAGAAGATGTGCAGAACTGACCAGAGAAGGTGTCAAGAAGTGGAGATGAGGGGCGCCTGGGTGGCTCAGTCAGTTAAGCATCTGACTTCGGCTTAGGTCATGATCTTGTGGTTTGTGGGTTCGAGCCCTGCATCAGGTTCTGTGCTGACAGCTCAAAGCCTGGAGCCTGTTTCAGATTCTGTGTCTCCCTCTCTCTCTGCCCCTCCCCCGCTCATGCTCTGTCTCTCTCTGCCTCAAAACTAAATAAAAAACTATAAAAAATTTAAAAAGGAGGGGAGATGATTGAACTGGATCTTAATGGAAAAGTGGGAGATTTTTTTTGCCTGCAAACAGGCAGTGAGCACAGTATGTCTGATGTGTGAAGACAAGTCAGTGTATGCTTCTGGGGAAATAAGGATAGTTTGCCATATCTGGAACATAAGCTATATTAAAAATGACAAATGAGAGATAATGAGGGAATGTCAGAGCTTGGACTTTATCTTCTAAGCTGTGAGAAGCCTCTGAAGGAATTTAATTAAGAGCAAAGCCACAGTGAGGCGTACTATTTAGAAAGGTCATCAGTGGTGCAGGGGCACCTGGGGGGCTCAGTCAGTTGGGCATCTGGCTCTTGGTCTCGGCTCAGGTCATGGTCTCATGGTTTGTGGGTTCGTCCCCCATGTTGGGCTCTGTGCTCATGGGTCAGAGCCTGCTTGGGATTCTCTCTCCCTCTCTGTCCGTCCTGCAGTCTCTCTCTCTCTCTCTCTCTCTGTCAAAATAAATAAATAAACTTAAAAAAAGAAATAAACATCATCAGTAATATAAGGGATGATAGAAGTAGGTCATATTGGAGGCAAGAGTGCGGTTAGGGTCTACTGTAACAGTTCCAGCAAAAGCAGATAGGCAGATATCCAGAAAGGCAAATTTACAGAGACAGAAAATAAATCAGTGGTTGCCTGGGGCTGGCGGTGGGAGCAGGGCAGGACCATCAGTGGGCATGAGGGATCTTTTAGGAATGATGGAAATGTCACAAAATTGCATGTGGTGATGGTTACACACTTCTGCAAATTTTCTAAAAATCATTCAACTGTACACTCACTTTAAATGAGTGAATTTTATAGTATGTAAATTATACCTCAATAAAGCTTCTTTAAAAAAGAGAGAGCAATAAGGGGCCCTCTTCTAGAAGGGCAGTGGCACTGAGAGAAGACACATATGTGAAATGTTGATAAAGAAGTAGAAGTTGTAAGAGTGAGACCTTGATTTGCTCTCCTATGAGATAGGATGGTCGCCTATCTGATCAGTCAGGTGTTCTAATTGTGTTTCTTCATCTTTGGGAGAAAACGTCAGCCCTACCTTCTACTTGCTAGGGTTCACAGCATACGGATCTGCACTTGACAGTACAGAGTGTCTGCCTCTGGACCCTTATCAAAAACCATATGTACCAGCTCTGTGCCCCCTTGTCCTTTGTAAACACATGGTAAAGACGTGGTATTTATGAAGGATCTGTGACCCATTTATTTCTCTAGGCTCTGTTACTCAGCAAATGTGTAAATTTTTGCTTTAATAGAGAGAGAGAGAGAGAGAGAGAGAGAGAGAGAGAGAGAGTGAGTCCCATGCAGGCTCCATGCTCAGCGTGGAGCCCGACATGGGGCTTGATCCCACAACCCTGGGATCGTGACCTGAGCTGAAATTAAGAGTTGGACACCCAACCGACCGAGCCACCGAGGTGCCCTTCAGCAAATGGTCACTGCCAGGTGTTCTGGTAATGTAGCAGGGAACAAAGCAGGTACAGTAGCTGCCTTTATGAGCCGATAGTCCAGCAGTGGGGACACATGTTACTTACAGTTATGATAACGATTTATCATGTGTTGCGTTTCCTTGTGCAATAAGAGAAAATGACGTCAACCTGAGGTCAGAAGGATACTGCTGGGGTGGGCGTGTGACTATAGACCCTAGTCCTATATGCATCCAGCTGGCTTTCCTTGGTGGTGAGTGAGCCTTTTGAATATGAGCCCTTTTGAGTCTGGGGTTTGTGGGGTAATCTTGGGCCTTATCTCAGTGTTCCTTATAATAGATTTTGTTGAATTATACATTGGCTTTATTCCATCATTTTGTATGAGCTCGTGTTATAAGAAATAGCCATGGAAGCTTCACGCTTACTTATTACAGACCTGTTGTAGAAGTTACAGCCTCCAATATCACATATGGCCCCTCTTTTATAATCAGGACCCACAAGAGAAATTTCTTCCTGATGACTGTTTCGGATTTGCTTTTATATTTTGGTCTTTCAGTCACCCTAAAACACCCTGCAGCATCGTGCTTCAGGTCTCCAGAGGGTGTTCTCTCTGCCTGGAATGCCACATCCCATTCTGGTGGGGCTTAACCCTTACTTGGACCTAGCTGTTACTCCAAGTGTCCCTTCAGGGAGGATTTCCCTAGCCAGCACCCAGTCCCCTTCCAAATTCGGTCTGATTCTTTTTTTAATATGGTTTATTGTCAGGTTGGTTTCCATATAACACCCAGCGCTCATCCCAACAAGTGCTCTCCTTCATGCCCATCACCCATCTTCCCTTCTCCCCCACCCCTATCAACCCTCAGTTCTCAGTATGTAAGTGTCTCTTGTGGTTTGCTTACCTCCCTCTCCTTAACTGTTTTTTCCCCTTCCCCTCCCTATGGCCCTCTGTTAAGCTTCTCCTGTTCTACATATGAGTGAAAACATATGATATCTGTCCTTCTCTGCCTGACTTATTTTCCTCAGCATAACACCCTCGAGTTCCATCCATGTTGCTACACATGGCCAGATTTCATTCTTTCTCATTGCCATGTAGTATTCCATCGTATAGATAAACCACATCTTCTTGATCCATTCGTCAGTTGATGGACACTTAGGCTCTTTCCATGTTTTGGCTATTGTGGAGAGTGCTGCTGTGAACACTGGGGTACATGTGCTCCTATGCATCAGCATTTCTGTATCCCTTGGGTAAATTCCTAGCAGTGCTGTTGCTGGGTCATAGGGGAGTTCTATTGTTAATTTTTTGAGCAACCTCCACACTGTTTTCCAGAGGGGCTGCACCAGTTTACATTCCCACCAGCAGTGTAGGAGGGTGCCCGTTTCTCCACATCCTCACCAGCATCTAGAGTCTCCTGATTTGTTCATTTTAGCCACTCTGACAACTCAGTCTGGTTCTTAATAGAGATGTTCAAAGCACTCTTTTTCACTCAGGCAGTTTTTTGTCAGATGATTTGTTGTTTAGTAACTTGTTGTTGCTGTTGTTGTCATCTCTTAGACTGATGGCAGGAGAGCCGTGAGAGCAGAGACCACGCCTTTTTGTTTGTGGCTGTATCTCAAAGTCATAGCATAGTGTCGTGCTTAATAAATATTTGCTGACCAGTCGAATGAATGGACACACTGTGGGTACTAAATCTTGTGACTGTTCATTTTATCCTTTCCTTTGGCAGTTTGGGAGCTCAGGCCCTCTTGATTCCCCCTGTGGCATACGTACCAGTTCCTCATGGCATGCATTTTGTGCACTAACATTCCTTGGACCGTGTAATATTTTTCCTCTCCTGACTTCTTCATTTTTAAAAAATTCCAGCATGTCCTGTAAATTCCTGTAGGCTACTCTAAGCCCTTCTGGGGACGAAATAACAAACAATTGGGTACATGAGTAGGAAAAGAAAGGGAGAAGTCAAAGGGAAATGTTAGTGCCTTTAACCAGCTGCAGGAGAGTTTTCTTTTGCATTGTTTTAATTTTATTTTCATTGTAGGAAGGGGGAAAAAGTGTTTGTCCTCTAATTTGGCAGGAAATGCCTCTGAAGAATTTGGGGACTGTCTCTGCCCTGAGACGTCCCTCCCAGTGGCAGGAAGCTAGGGGGCTGAGCTCAGCAGGGCCTCCTGGCCCGGTGGTCAGGTGGTCGGGTGGGCATGGGTCTGTGAAGGCTGTCCACGCAGCTGAGTTCCAATCCAGTTGACTTTCCCTTGTGGGGGAGGGTTTGGGCAGAGTCACTGGGCGCTTGTTGTGTTTTTTTTTTTTTAATCCTAGCAAGGAGAAAGAAATGAACTTGTCCTCTTGTGTTGCAGATTCAGTGGTTCTTTCCTTTGACTCCGCTGGACAAACACTAGGCTCAGGTACCAATCCCTCCCCCGCTATCCTTTCTGCACTCAGCACTTGGGCCGCATTTGGAGTGGAGCCTGGTGAAGTGGTGGTGGGGGTGGGGGTCTCTGGGGAGGGTGGTGGGGTATCATAGCATTGTGGGAAAGTCTTACGAAGCTTTTCTGGGGACTCGTGGTCCAGGAAGTGAGATGCAGCATCCAGAAGACCCTGCCAGTTGCTTAAAAAGTTTGCAGTAGATGCTCCTTCCTCATTCAAATCTATCCGGGTCCCTAGAAAAGGAATCTGTTTTCTGAGCACAGATTGTGGCCTAGAGGGCGGGGCAGAGGGCATCACGAGGCGCCACGCTCTGGGTACGTTGGAGTAGGTCATTATCAGGCTCTCCAGGACTGAGGAGAGTGTCCCAGCTTCCTGACAACATACGCTGTTGCATGTTTGCATGCATATCCCACGTACTCCAATACACACCTCCTCCGGGGTGTGCGCTTTACTATGCGCTTGTGCCAACTCACGTGCGGGCAAACATACTGCCTCTATTCCCCGTGTTGACGTTGGAGACATGCAGATGGACATACAAATCACCTTTGACACCAATTCACTCGGGCTCAGTGGAGCTTGGCAGTGAGCAGAAAGAGACGTCACTTTGATTCTTCATCTTGGCTGACATCACGTTCATATGGGAGCCCCAGGACTACTTTCCTTTGTGAGAAGAGCCTCTCTGGGCATCATGCCTGCATGTGTAGTTGGAGACAGTGGGTGCTGCCTGCGAAGCACGGGGAGACTTGGCTGGCCTGCTGAGGGCAGTTAATTTAATCCGTTTAGCTGTCCTTGAATGCAGCCAATTGGAGTTTCACAGAGCAGCCCTGAGGCTCCAGGAGCTGTGGCAATGTGGGCAACGGGGAGGTGAGTTCAGAGACTATAATCACAGCTACCACTGCTTACTAAGGGTCTACTATGTGCCAACACTGTGGTAGGTGCTTTTTACACATGTGCGAGGTGGATGGTGTATCTTCGATTACAGAGAAAAGAAACTAATGCTCCCAAAGATAAAGTAACCTGTCCGGGGCCACTCATACCTGTCCACCTCTAGAGCTCACACTCTCTCCCTTGTTATCTTGATGTCATAAACCTTGTATGCTTGAGATACACTCCACTCAAATGCTGAGAAAAGAGAGATCGCTTTAAGATAGAGTGGACAGAGAGTTCTTAAATAGACACAAAAGTTGTATCTGCTGCTCTAGGAAAAGACTGATCACTTTTATTATACTAAAGTTAAGAACTTCTCATTAACCTAGAAATCACCATTAAGAGAATGAAAAGGCGATCCACAGTGAAAAATGATATTTCTAACATGAACAGCCAACCAAGGGCGTGTATCCAGAATAGAGTTAGAGAAATCAGCAGGAGTAAAGAAACAATTCAGTATCGAAACAAGCAAAAAGCCTGAATAAGCACTCCACAAAAGAGGAAATCCAAATGGCCGATAAACTTATGAAAAGGTGTTTGATCACATTGCTACCTAGGAAAAGGCAAATCAGGATTACCTTGAGATACCACTGCACATCTACCAAAATGGCAAAACTTGAAAATCTCGCTATTCAAGTACTGGTGAGGATGTGGTACAGTGGGAACTCTGAGTCTTCTCTGGTCAGAGGGTAAGTTGGTCACAACCCCTTTAGTAACGACTATGTAGTATCTAGCACAATTTGAATATACATATACCTCATGAGCTGGCGCTTCTCCTCATAGCTGTATTCCCTACAGAAATGGATGCTTCTATATGGACCAGAATATATGTACAAGATACATGTACAAGACTCTCTCATTGGATGCAGCTAAAGGTCTGGACAGGTACATTTAGCAGCTATTTGAGGACTCTGAAAAATAAATAATAGCAGAACTATTGGAGGAAGAGATCAGAATTAAAAGTACTACCACACTTGCAGTGAATTTCTCATTTTTCCCTCTGGTACCCCATGCAAGGCCCCAAACCCAGCATTCCCTTCAGGGCACAGCCAGAGAGAATTCTAGAAGACCTCTAGCTATGGCTCTGGGGCTGGAAAGGAGTTCTGAGGCTCAGACAGAGGGGGAAATCCCAAGGGTTGGGATTCCCTTGGGATTCCTTCCTTCTCCCTCGTGCCTTCGACCCCAGGCAGCCCCACGGTAGTGGTGGTGCTACTGCCTATGGCAGCAGGGGGGTCGCCGAGCACCTAAAACTGAAAAAGGGAAACCTCCCTCTCTGATCAGAGGAGCTGTAATCCCAGGATAGTTGGGAGTGTGGGGGATCTGTTGCTTTTTTTCCTCTGCCTTCCTGCTGGTTGGCCCCAGATCTGGGTACAGTTCAGGAAATGTGAGGCAGAATGCGGTAACTAAGATCTCAGCTTTCTGGACAGAGGACCGAGAAGGGGAGGCCCAATAAACTGGAAAGCACCAGGAGAGAACAGGGAAGAACTCAGGAAAGTAACCCCAAAAAGTTGTTTATGAGCAACTAACCCCTGAGCTGTGCCCACACGTATCTGATTCTAACCAACATACCAAAGACTTTGAGAACTGATCCAAGGGATAGACCACTGACTGAGTCCTAGACTGGACACTGGGTGGCGCCCACAGAGGACACACCTGAGGAGGCTTTGGAAATGGAACTGGCATTGAAACCATAACCCACAGAACTTGCCACCTAAATCCAACCTCGTTGAGAGTCTGGTAAAACAAAAATGTCTACATTCTCCACTGGATCTAAACAAGACCTAAAGTTTCATAACCTCGTATTCAAAATATCCAGGATAGAATCCAGAATTAATCATCATGTGAAGGACCAGGAATATCTCAACACAGATGTTGGAATAACCTGACACTTCCTTTAAAGCAGCTGTTATAAAAATGCTCCCCAAAATGAAGGCAAATGGTATTGATGCATAAAAGAAATTCTTAGCCCCCCCCCCGAAAGGAAATAAAATAGAACCCAATGGAGATATAAGGGGAAAAAATACAATAATTGACATTTTAAAAACTGAGTGGACTCAATAACAAAATGGAGATGAAGAAGAAAGAATTAATGACCTTGAAAGGAAAGCAGTAGAAGTTACCCAGTATGAACAATAAGAAAGAGTTAAAAAGTTGAGCAGAGCCTCAGTGGCTTGTTGGACAATACCAGAGAGTTTATCACCTGTCCTTGGAGTCCCAGAAGAAGAAAGTGTAGTGCAGAAGAGATAGTCAAAGAAATAATGGCTAAAACTCCCCAGATTTGGTGCCCACCTGGGATTTATCCTAGAAATGGAAGGCTGAGTCAGCATTCAAAAGTCACTCAATGTAGTCCACCATATTCACTCTCTAAAGAAGGGGAACTGCATGGTCATGTCTATTGGTGAAGAAAAAGCATCTGACAAAGATTCAGCATTTATCAATTTGTGACAAAAACTCTCAGCATGCTTAGAAGGGAACTTCTTCAACCGGATGTAGGGACATCTCCAAAGAGCCTACGGCAAACATCGTGCTTCCTGGTAAAAAACTATTATCGCCCGGAGATCAGGAGCCACTCCTGAAAGTCCTAGCCAGTGTGGCAAGGCAGGAAAAAGAGACAAGAATATAGATTGGAAAGGAAGGAATAAAACTGGCTCTCTTCATAGGTGATGTGATTGCCTACATAGAGAATCTCAAGGAATCTACAAAAAAACTCCTAGAACTAATAATTGAGTTTAGCAAGATGATAAGATAAAGATCAAAACAGAAAAAAATTATATTTCTATATGTTAGCAATGAATAATTGAAAGTAAAAAATTAGGGGCACATGGGTGACTTAGTGTATTGAGCATCTGACTCTAGATTTTGGCTCAGGTCATGAGCCGGGGGATAGAGCCCTGTGTTGGGCTTTGTGCTGAGTGTGGAGCCTACATAAGATTTTATCCCCCCCCCCCCCCCCCCCGCACTTATATGCATCCACTCTCAAATAAAAGTAAAAATATATAAATAAAAAATAAAAAATATTAGCAGTAGCTCTCCCCCCCAAACCAATATATATATAAATCTAATGGAATGTGTGTGGGATCTGTGTGCTCACAGCTGTTCCTCTCCCATTTTTTCGTCTCCATCTGCCCAAGTGTTCAAGCCACAGACCTGGAAACCACTTTGGTTGTTGCCCCTCCTCTCCCTTGCTCACTTTTTCTGTCTTCACGATATGTCCTTGTCCAGCTTTTTTCAGCAGCTCTGTCCAAGGTACCATCTTCTCTACCCTGGATAAGGAAACATCTACTGGTCTCTCTGTTCATCTGTTGCTTCCTGCTAGTTCATTCTCCACATTGTAGCCAGAGAGGTCTTTTAAAATGTACGTCAGATCATATCTTGTTCGCATCGAAAACTCTCCATTGACTTCATGGACTTAAAATAAAACTCAAACTCCATGACCTATAGGGTCTGACTTGCTAGCTCTTACTCAAGAAAATTCTTACTTGAATTTTCTCGATGCTTAGTCCATTTTGTCCCTCTCTGCCCTCGAGCCATATTGGCATTCCTGCTAGTCCATGAATATGCCAGGCCCCTTCCTCCTCCAGGGCCTTTGTCTCCTCTACCTAGAATGCTCTACTTCTGCTTCACGTGACTGTCCAAGGTCTGTGTTCAAATGGCATCTCTGCAGAAAGGCCTTCCTGGACCACTGCATCTAAAGTAGTTTACTCTCTTGACACCCAGTCCTTCTCTAAGAGACTTTGTCTTTATTTCTTCTTAGCACTCATCCTTCCTTCAAATTTTCTGCTATTTATTACTTGCATACTGTCAGTCTACCCCAGTAGAATTTGGCCAGAGACCTTGCCTGTCTTGTTTATCACTGTGTATCCTTGGTACTTAGAACAGTACCTGGCACATAATAGGTGCTCAGCAAATATTTGTTGAATGAAACATAGAAAAATAGAAACCGTAATGTCCATCACGCAACACATACTTAAGGATTACATAAACAGTGGCATATCCATGTGGTGAAATACTATGCGGCCATTAAAAATGACATAGTTTTATTTTTATTGAC